AAAGATAAGATAAAGATAAATATAAGATAAAGATATACTTCCTCCATTCTTTTTTAGTTGCAACGGTCAACATTTCACACTTGCCAACGCACGTCTTTAACCGTAATTATATCTTAATCTCTTTTAGTAAAAAACATTAAAAATCAGATTTTGAAAATTTTGTAATAAGATGAATTGAACAATATTTTTTAAAAAAATAATTCTCATAAAATTATAGCGTAAAATGTAGTCAAAATAGAACATGTGAATAGTGTAAAATTCAACATGTTGCGATTAGAAAAAAAAAGAGGATAGGGATGATAAGATAAAAAGGGATAAAAAAGAATATATACAAAATTAAAATATATATAAAATAAAAAGGACTTCTTTTTATCCTACCTTATCTTTTTATCTTTCCTTTTTTCCTTTTGGCTCCGATATCATATATCAATTCATGTTAGCCGACCCCAAAATCTTTTGGGAATAAGGCTTGGATGTAGTTGTATAAAATAAAAAGGATTGAAGGATAAAGAACATAAGATAAATAAAGAAGATAAAAGGATAAAGAAGATGATAAGAGATCAATTCTCCACACGAATATCTGCCCTCCACTTTTCTCCCTCCAAAATCATACTCTCATCCAACTCAAGAAGAAGCATATCATTCTAGACTCCTCTAAACCATATTTGTTTGGGTATTCTTCTCCCTCTCCTCCCCACCTCTTCTCCGCACCTCTCAACTCATTTAATAGGTGCATCACTTGGTCTACTACACACATGACCAAATCATCGCAATCGCAACTCCTGCATCTTATCTTCAATAGGTGCTACTCCCACTTTTCCTAAAATTGTCTCATTCCTCGAGCAGTCTTTTATAGTATGTTCACACATACAACGCATCATGCGCATCTAAGCCACACTCATCTTTTGAACGTGACATTATTTCACCGTCCAACCCTCTACGCCAATCGTAATGCATACTTCATCGGTGTTTGATAAAATTTATCCTTCAGTCTAGTCAGCATACCTGGATCACATAGAAATCATGACGCACTCTTCCATTTCATCAACTGATAGCCACCGGGCATATTAGTGTTGATAATAAAATAATAATGAGAGTAGTCTAAATAGTAGAAGTTAAGTAAGGAATAAAAGTTAGGCTGGGATTATCCTTTTGGCTTGGGACTTGGAGAGTTGGCGCTCTTTAACTGCCTTTGTACTTTCTCTCTCTATTTTGTTATATGAAGCTTTCTATTGTTATGTAAATTCTGTTTCATGCATCTCTAGCTCTCCAAAACTATATAAATGGGATCCTTCTCTATCATTGGTATTCGAGCACGATTCATGTCACCGGTTAATGGTTGTGACTCGCACCAATATGGAAAGCAAATTGGAAACAATAGAGCACAAGGTGGAACACAACAGTGAGGGGCTACGAAAAATTAACACGATTGTGGAGATGCGCGATCTAACGGTCCAGCAGAATGGGTGTCGTTCACGAGGCCGATCGAGGAACCCTAGACGTCATCAGAAGCCTGAAAGCCACGGTTCAACTTCATCGCAAACAGCTTTTCCTTGTGCACAGGTATCGTCGCAAGCAGAAGATCACCGTTCGCAAGCTTAATCACCATCCTCACAGTTCGTCTTTGCGAGCGGCCTTGACCAATTCCCAGCTGATGTCGCAACCGCTTCTCACCATTCGCAAGCTTCAATCTTCCTTTAGGAGTATGTGAGTCAGCGGCAAACTCCCTCTGAAGGCACTATTTCGTCACGATTTAGAAAAAGTGAAGATAAAGAAGAAGAGAACGTACATGTTGTTCCGAATAGTGCTGATGATGCTCCAAGGGTCACCAATCTAGGGCAAAGTTCCGCTAGAGGAGTGACTAACTCTTCTTCGGAGCCAATACCGTTGTTGATTGGAGTTTCGGGTGACCTTAGCAAAAACTGGAGAAAATGCAGTGTTTCGCAGCTGAATTTCCTCAAGATCCTATCCCTGAAGTGTGTTCTGTTGCAGCAAGAGCTATTGGCTCTCTTATAACGGGAATGGGAGAAGAAAACTTCCCAAACCAGGTGCATGAGCTGTTAGATACTCTGGAATCTGAGGGCAGCAATGTTGGGCGTTCTGAAGTGCTCAGGGCCTGGGAGAGGTGAGGCATCGGTTTGAAGAGATTGACTATATCCTGGAGGCGCAAAGTTCAGAGCGTTATACATCTCTTTATGTGACTTATCATACTGAAAATATCAGTCATTGAAGTGCAGAATATGAGAGTGCAACGAATAGGAAGGTATTGATGAAGGCTTTATCCAATATCGAGGCATGTGTATTGGTTGGTGATTGTGTGTTGGCTACTTGGCTGTTGATCTGCTAACTGCAGTTCCTGAAGAGCAGAAAGAACTGCTACACCTTCGCAGTCAAACTTAATAGCTGCTATTGCATTTATGGAGCCACTGAAGGAATGGATGCGTGTGAACAAGGAGTGGACCTTTCACTGCTATGAGAAACTCTATTTCCCAGACTTTGTAATCACGCAGGAGAAAGAGAGAAATATTAAACTGCTGCCTGTTGACCTCAAGCCTATAATGGAAGGACTTCCAATGCTCCAATTGAAGAGATTAAAAGCATATGCAAAAACGATAAATTAAATCTATATGGGGGCACCTGTGGGGAACAACGGGGTGGGGCGGGTCTGGGAGTAACGGGGGATGGGGCGGGGATGGGGAGAACTTTTTAGACATGGGGCGGGGGATGGGGGAGTGTACCCCCGCCCCAAACCCGCCCCATTGCCATCCCTAGATAGAATCATAGAAGTAACGGTAAAAGTAGAACTAGACAAACAATTTTGAACTTCAAACTTTCATACTCCAAACAATTAAACTTCACCCGGCCCCTTTCATACAAGGGGACATTTAAAAACCCTGCAAGGAACACAGAGAAAACCCAGAAGCTTACCTCAATTGAAGGCAAAAGCAGAGAGCCATAACGAGGATCTCTTCCGACCATCTGCACAATTTCTTGATCACTTTCCATACCCATGGCCTTCAAAACAATCATTATGGGAACCTGTAAACCGAAATTAAAATGACCTATAAAAGTTGTATTGTAATACAAGAACACAAGAAATGAAGTTGAACAAAGTTCAAAGCGCAAAGCGCAAAGTGCATCAACATAGAGATAAAAGTTTAAAAACTAACCTTGCTTTTGAATTGATTCAACTCCAAATAAATCTTTTCTTTGTCCATTTTTATGATTGTTTTACTTTTTATATTCTCTGTGCTGGATGTAACAGACGCTTGAACACTGGAAACAAGATTATAACAAGAAATAGATGTTGCATAAATAAAGCCCAAGAATAATCTCAAAAGCTTCAAAAATAAAAAGGAAGAGAATTTGTCATAGAAATGCTTCGATGAAAGGAATGATTATGGAATTCTCTCCCTCTTCAAGACAGAACCACTATATGCCAATAATACATCTTGCATACTAGGACACTAAAACTTCAACTTCTATGAACTGGAAAATAAAAATCAAAAAGACAAAATTGCACAGCATCCACTAATGTCTTCAAAAAGGTCAATATAGGTAAGAGAGTGACTGTTTACAGTTCCAATTTCCAAAAGAGATCGCCTAGATGCAGCTGAGTGAGCTGACAATTACAAATCTCAACCTAAAAAGGTGAGTGCACACATGTTCCAATTACTCTATTGATCTAGTGGGGGTGAAAAAGATGAGTGTGTGGAAGCAATAGAGAACAAATTACCAAGGAGAAGTGCAATAAAGTTATAATAATGTGAACCCCTTACCAGCCCTTCCTGTCAGTATCAATAAGTATTCTGTTCTTGGAAAGCTGCTCTTGGATTAAAATAACCTGGATTGATCGAGCAGAAGACAGAAACTATAAACTATAATAAACAAAAGTCAAACATAATGAATAATAATTTTCAAAAGTAAGAAGTGAAGCCAGATATAGTAGACAAAAGGGGTGATATGAGGAGTCTCTTACTATTAATAAATATTACTTTATCATTACCATTGTTATTAATTTATTATTTAGTGATGTAGTTTTAGTCAACTTCTTATTGGCCTTGCTTTATGTTTCTATTACGACCAAGGCTCTTGTAGTAGCAAAATAAGGGTCTCCAGTATTGATTAATAAACCTTTAAAGAATTAATTCGCCTCTTGACAAGTAGGGCTGAGCATAATCCTGTCTAGACAAGAACACCGGACCGAACCGGACCAGTCAGTCGTGACTGGACCCAGACCGTTCACATACCGGTCTAGTCTTTGTTTCTAGGATTTTTGTCCAGTCCGGTCTGAAACCCGGAATATTCCAGTCTGGACAGTGGACAGGTTAGACCGGAATTTAAATATTATATATACAAATATATTTATATATGCATTAAAATTTTACATATATACATGCTACATATGTTAAAGTGATAAAATGCTTTAGGCACTAATTTAATTTGCACATTATTTAAATATTAAGATTAATAACATTTTATAACCTAAATCGTTAAAATTTAGGATCGTTTTTATTTGCTTAGTTTATCTTGTTTTGATGATAATACATTAATACGTACACGCTTAGTTTAGTTTATTTTGTTGAATTTGTAAAGCTAATGAGTTAAATTATTCGTTGAACTCATCGAGAAACTAATATTAGTTTCTTGTATCAATATGATCATATTAGGAGATTTTTTCATTCTAATATAAAAGGTTAAATGAGAAAAGATCATACATAAAACAACAACAAAATATAACAGAAATTCTCGAGCTGATAAGGTAATTTTTAAATAATCAGAACTATTTTTCAAAAGTTGAAACATCTAAAAAATAAATGAAAGTAAAGTTCCGGTCCAATCAAAACCGGAATAATCTAGTGACAAGGTTGGGCACCAATTAATTCTAGCTTAAGATTATTTTATTTGTCTTCTTTCCCATTTTCTTTGAGATCCAATCACGCTCATAAAAATTTGGTTGCTGAGCCGTTTATTTTCTACTCTTTGTTTTTCTTCCACAACTCATCAACAGAAGGAAAAAATGTAAAAGAATACTGCAACTGCTCACTACTGGACACCATGATACCATAATCGCTGCGGTTCTGCCCCAATGTTTCTTATCTTTCTGCTGCCAGAAGATTAAAAAATCTGAACAATGGACTACGTCATGATTCAACAGGTCCTGTTCTCCTCCAGATATTCAAAGGTTCCACTTTGACTCTAATTTAGTTAGTGTCTTTATTTTATTTATTTTCTTAGTAGGTGTTTTTTCTTATAGCAGGTTTACTTCATTGCTGTGTGTGTGTTCTTTCAAGTCTGTAGTTTCAAAAATACACAAAAAGAAAGTCCAGAAAAAGATGAAAAAATATGGACTAATGAACTTTACATGTCACTGTCTCTGAGTTATGTTGTTTCATTAACGAATAGAAATCCTTGTCTACTTTTGGTGGAAGATGGGTGCAACATTATGAAATTTTGAAATATGATTGGATTGAACTCCAAACTTGGTACATGTTGATTCCTCTCTGGACACAGTGACTGCCTTGGGGGAATCTAAACAAAAGAGTATTTATGAAGGTTGTTTCACAATAACGACTTCACCGGTTGCTTTATTGCCCATAGAAATACCACCGATTCCACATCTATTGTCACCAGATCATTTCCTCCACTTCAAACAGTTCCCTTACTTCAAAGTGCTTAATTTAGGCAGGTCATTGAAAACACTCATTTCAGCTTTTTTTAAGCAAAGAACTGAAAAGCACTCTTTTAAGTTGCTGCAAACACTCCCTTAGTCAACTTCTTATAAGCCTAGCTTTATGTTTCCTATTATGACTCTTGTAGTAGCTATATTAGGGTCTCTAGTATTGAGTACTAAACAACCTTTGAAAAACGAATTCCTGTGTGTCTTGACAAGGTCGTCGAGCGTAAAAGCCATAAATTAATTCTACTTGGGCTTATTTGATTTGTCTTCTTTCCTAATCTCTTTAAGATCCAACCGCACTCATGACAAAGGGGCCCATAGACAGAAAATAACATTGTCAAAACCCTTATAGGTAGTATATAAACAAAAGAGTATTTATGAAGGTTGTTGCACAATAACGACTTCACCGGTTGCTTTATTGCCCATAGAAATACAACCGACTCCACATCTATTGTCACCAGATCATTTCCTCCACTTCAAACAGTTCCCTTACTTCAAAGTGCTTAATTTAGGCAGGTCATTGAAAACACTCATTTCAGCTTTTTTTAAGCAAAGAACTGAAAAGCACTCTTTTAAGTTGCTGCAAACACTCCCTTAGTCAACTTCTTATAAGCCTAGCTTTATGTTTCCTATTATGACTCTTGTAGTAGCTATATTAGGGTCTCTTGTATTGATTACTAAACAACCTTTGAAAAACGAATTCCTGTGTGTCTTGACAAGGTCGTCGAGCGTAAAAGCCATAAATTAATTCTACTTGGGCTTATTTGATTTGTCTTCTTTCCTAATCTCTTTAAGATCCAACCGCACTCATAACAAAGGGGCCCATAGACAGAAAATAACATTGTCAAAACCCTTATAGGTAGTATAAAGCATGATAAACACATTGCTCATACCTTTTCAGTGCCTTTGACAACAAAATATCCTCCTGGATCAAGTGGACATTCGCCTAAAGTGAATAAAAAACAAGTACAATGAATATAGTCAATATATAAATAAAAGTACATGATCAACAAAGACAAAAAAGAAAAAAACAAAGAAATCACCACAATCATCATGCAAAAATAATTTATACGGTTCATTGTCATATATGTTTGCTAAAATCAGTATGATATGCAGGCCTTGTGGCAGGTCATACACCATCAAAGTTTATTTGTGTCAAATAACCAATAAAACAATTCCAGTGCTCGTTCTCTGATGATCCATTTAGACGCACAACTACTTTCATGATCAGTAACTATAAACAGAAGATGAAATCTGGATAACGTTCATTAACTAATAAACTGCTACTGATATTGATATGACTTTAAGTTCACAATTACAGAACTTCTCGAGGACTGCTACAGTGTTTATATAGAGACAACGGGCCTAATTCCCATAGGAATCGGAAACCTATATCTTAAATGTAACAGGAATAGCAAGCAATAGTTTAACTGCTAAAACTATGAAAATGATGTTACACTTCCTGTTATTCTATACTCTAACATAAACATACAAAACTCAGTGGAATATCTAAGTGGTCAGAGGCATACGAAGGCGTGCCAATTCATCCTCATCTTTTCCATACAGGACACAACAAGAACTCCTTAGCATGACCGGCATCCTTCCAATGCAAACTTTAGTCTAGGAGGTGTTTCAGAGAGCATGCATGCACCAAGAGACGGAAGAAACGAGTAAGAGCCTTGAAATCAAATTCAGAAATGGCAAAGCATTTTCAGCTAAATAAAATTATAAGGAACAGTTACAGTACCTTGCTTGCAGCGGTCATTTGCCCATTACTCCCCACTACATAATCAATATTGACATATATAGGAGCAGCATAGCTAAAAGTTAATAAAGAAACCATGTGATGAGAGAATTCAGAGAAAGTAGCAATATGCAATTAATTCCCTTTATATTTAATTTTGTAGGGCAACTTTATAGAGCTAAAAGAAAAGGAAGTTGGATTTGTTTTGCATAACACTGCACTATTTCTTTTTAGAGAGCATCCAAACTCCAGAGGGAAAGCACGATCAACAATCACACAACTCACACCAGGACCCCGGTACAATGAGAATAGTTACTAACGTTTTATCTGATTGCCGACATTCATGTGGAAACAATGTCAATTCGCTACCATCACTCATAACTGATGGTCTACCTATCCAAACATCTGTGTACCTGTAATTATGAAATGGGAAATGGTTGCTGTGGTATCATGACAGTATCTGGTTCACAAATGGGGGGGGGATGTTGCCATATTTATTAAGTCCACTCAAGAAACAACAATGAAGGCCCACCTGAGAAAAATACGGGAGTCAACTGTCGATCTAATTTCCTTATTTGCTTTGACGATCTTTTTTATCTCAGTCCTAATGAGATAATTATAAGAATCCAAATGTTGCTTCACCAATCCTCTCACCTGCAAATTATCTATTATCTATTATTCATAAAAGCAAACGAGAACACCTTTGTGCTAAACACTGGAAGCATCCAACACTAAATCATTTTATTATCTATGGTGGAACTACTAATAGAAAAAGAATCATTCCACAAGTTATTTTCGTGTTTTGGCTGAAATTATGAAAAATATATTTTAAAAAGTATATATATACCCTAATCCTTGTAGATACTTTTAAATATATTAAAATTAATATTTTAAATACAGTTTTAGATAATTCAGCAATTTCATCAAATTTTGTCGTAACCAAACAGACAACAATATACTAGGAATAAAATCAAGGACAAACTGATTTTAAACATATATTAGTCTTTCAGTATACTACCTAGAGTAAACATAAAAGTGCAACCATATTCATGGAAATAGATTATTTATACACTGCATGTGCATGGTGTAAGCCACGGGAAATTAGGAAATCCCTGGACTGTAGCAAAGATACATGGTACGAAAATTGGGTCTTTTAACATCAACCGTGGAGACAAAATCTTCATCATGTACCAGGAACGTTATAAAGATTTGGTACTGATGATCTATTCAGTACGAGACGGGAAATTCAAGAGACTTCTCATAAATTTGAATAAAGCATAACTCTGAATGGGTAATAAGTATATTACATTTGTATTTTGCAATAATAACTAGAAGTAATATTTTGTCTCTCATCATCCTGACAGTAGGCCTCCGATAATGTCCCAGTTGCTTTTTAAACGGATTATCGGGAAACAGATAATGTTTGATCAATTGTCTAACCTCGGCTCTAATTCTATATACACATTTTAGATGTAATGCACTTGGTACAAAACATAAAAAAGCTACGCAGACGGTCTACATGTCAATTCAAAAAGAAAGTAAATTTGTAGGGTAGAAAGTTAATGTGTTTTAAAAAGAAAAGAAGACACAACAGTGAGAAAAACTAGAAAGACAAGTGGGGCACACATACAAGTGGGAATGAAGAGCATTAATTAAGTACCATACAAATGTAATAACATTATACTATATATACTCCCTCTGTAATGTTTTGTTTGGAAATATCTACTCTCCTTTCTAGGTAGGAAGTCCCATGCCAATGTCCACTTTCCTAATCTAAACATCAATACCTTTTACATTTACCCAACTTATCACTTCATCTACCCTTCCAACTTTTACTTGGTGGGTTCCACTTTACTTTTCTTCTTAATTCAAATAGGTAAACTTCAAAACTAGCATCACACTTTTTTTCCTAAAAAAGCATGTGCAAATGTGTCGATGCAATTCAGGATTGAAAGCAATATATTGTAGAGTACTTGGATACAAATAAGAAATAACATCTAGATCCATGCCGATAAAAATGTCAGTATGGTGCAGTTCAGATAAAGTCAAATGATCACGGAATGTTTTCACTTCTAGGTATTTTTGGTTCAATTTGGGACATTAGGACATCCAACACCTATCCTCAATTGCTCAGCCCTAAACACTTAAGACACTACTATCACGTTACTTCTACTAATAAAGAGGTGTTTGGAACTGATTCTGCTTCTTTTTAAAGCAGAATCAGAATCAGTTTTCAGAAACTGGTCTCTCCAAGCTTCTAAAAAAACTGATTCTAAGAGTAAATTAGAGCACCAGAATCACTTCTGCACTTTCACCCAAACACTCCAACCTCTGCCTAAGTAATAATACAATAAAACCTCTATACCAGAACACTCCATATAAGAATAACCCGTACTTTGTTGTACAAAAAAAAAATCCCAACTTAGTAGAGTTGTAAGGTGAAAAACATCTAAATTGTATGGAGCACTAGCTAATTGGGTATAAACGTTCTAGCCAAGTAGTTATAACTTACTCCGTATAATGTTCCCAATTGCTTATTAAGCAAAAAAAAAAGACATATCTATATAGTAATAAACACACACATACACGGTACCTTGCATACCCACATTTTGGTACATTGATAAAAGAGACCAATAGTTTAAAATGATTATTACATTTTACATATAAAGTAGTTTTTAACTTATCTAAAAACAGATAGAAATATACAAGCTTCCATACAGATTGGTGATTTTTTTATATTTTATATTTTCTTTAATTTGTC